TTCAAAATGGATATTCATCTAAACTTCCAAACCATTAAAAAAAGCATTAAATTTAGAGAAATTAGCAAAGATAACCATAAAAAAAAATATAATTAAAATCTTAACAAAATACCCTAAATCATATAGTTTATTATTTGGCTACATAGGCCATTTTGGCTACTTATCTAATTATTTTAAAAAATTGATTATTTGACAAATTAACCCTTAAATTTATATCTAAATCGACAAAAAAAAAAATGTTACAAATTGTGAGGCAAAATAAATATACCTGGTGGCCAAAGCAGATTCCGAGGACTTTCTTCTTCATCTCATCGAGTTTCTTGATGATATGAGAAAGCTTCAAGATCCAATTAGTGTCCTGAAAGGCATCATGAGAGCTTCCACTGATTACAAACCCATCGTACTTCTCAAGATCTTTCTCGTCAGAAAACTCGCCATCAACGACTCTGAAAGAGTCCCATTGCTCTCCTTCGTCGCCAAGGAAAGAAACAAACACGTTATGGTATCCTCCGTACGCCTTCTTCGCGAACTCCGAATCCGGCGCTGCCAGAAACAATAGGTACTTCTTCTGTTCAACCATTTGATCAAAAATTAACAAAGAGAGAGATAAAGTTTTGAGAAAGAGTTACTGAAAAATGAAGGATGAAGAGAGAAATGATGTGTGGATAAATTTATAAAGGTGGTGGGATTCACCATTCATGTGAACTCCCTTGGAATGTATATACGAGACATCTTGTTTATCAAAGATAGTGGTTGTTAACCATTGTTGAATTGTTGACCCCATATGAGAAATTCACACGTTCAAGATTTCTTTGAACAAAGACATCACGTTACATACATGTATTGATTACGCGGTTTTCTTAGCGTCTGAGAAATTCCGTAAATTTGAAAATATTCTACCAGCAACAAGATTGACTTTTTATTTGTTTATGTAATGTTAATTACTTACTCCATGTTCGTGAAAAGAATATTTCTTTTAAATAAACAAAAAAACTGTGAAAATCTCTCATGCCCGTGCATTACTTTGGCAAGTAA